GCCCTGCTGTTTTCTGTAACCTACTAATCATCCCTCCCCCCTTCTGCTGCCCGATACCCTCGCTTCCTTCCCTACCCTGCAGTGCTGTATAGCCCTTGTGGCTTAGCGCTTCTTTTTAATTATAATAATAATCCTCCATTTGCATTCCACCCTAGTCTTGTCCAAGCTAGATTATGGTGACCATGTCTATTCTGTGGCCTCATCTGCAACTCTGTCTATGTTAGATCCCATTCATCACCAAGGTCTCCGTCTGTGCCTTGGTTCGTCACCCCTGTTTACTCCATCCCTTTTCTCTGCCTACATTCGCTCTTGTCTTCTCTTCAGTTACCACCTTTCTATGTTCATGTAGCATCTCATTTTTCCCTGCCCCCTTGGGAAATTCCAGCTGTTCATGTCTGTTCTTTCCCACTGCTGTGTGTGAAAGTCTAACTACCTACAGTGGCTTCCCTCTCTTTTTCTTGACCACTTCTGCTCTCATTTTCACGCCATCACGGTGTACACTGATGGTTCTAAGTCTTCTGATGGCATCGGATTCACAGCAGTGTTCCGGACAGTGTGTGCAAGGGCATTTGTTATCCTCGGCTAGCATTTTACGCTGAATTGTATGCCATTCTTGTAGCACTTATCCGTATTGCATCTATGCCTGTCACCATTTGCGGTCGTTTCAGACTCCCTTAGTGCTTTACAGGCTATACAAAAATTTGATACACCTCACCCCCTAGTTCTTCATATCCACTTTCGTTGTGCCGTATCTCTAGTAAACGCAAAGATATTGTTTTTTGTTGGGTCCCTGGCCATGTTGACGTACAGGGCAATGAACAGGCAGGCACTGCTGCACGGTTCAGTAGTACATGACCTCCCAATTTCATGAAGAGGTGTTCCATCCATAGACTATTTTGCTGTGAATGCTACCCACCTTCGCACCCGTTGGCAGCAACGTTGGTCTGATCTGCTCCATAACAAACTTCGCTCCATGAAACTGAGTATAGGTTTCTGGCCATCTTCTTGTCATCAATGTCGAGGTTGGAAGACATACCCTCTCCCATCTTCGCATCGACCCACACCGTCTTACTCACGGGTATTTCATGGCGAGGTGCCCTGTTCTCTTTGTGAGAATTGTCAAGTTCCAGTATCTGTTAGCCACATTCTGTTGGACTGCCCACTCTATCAATGAGCACGCAGAATTTACCTCCAACATCGCTCTCTACTGCCCTTGCTTTACCTTTCCTTCTTGCTGATGGACCCTCCTTTAATTCAGACTCTCTCATTGACTTTTTGACAGCAACTGATTTACTACACAAACTCTGATGATGATGCCTCTAGCACTCTCCTCAGTCCTTTCTACCTTAATCTCTAGCTACCCTCTACCCCTGCACTATCCACTGCTCTGCTGCACTTCATAACCTAATCATCCCTATCCCTCTTTTACCCATTACCCCTGCATCCTTCCCTGCCCTGCTGAGCTGTATAACCCTTGTGGTTTAGCACTTCTTTTTTATTATAATAATTATAATCATGGGGAAGCACTAAACCCTTAGAAGTCATATAATGCCAAGGGAATGGGCGGTAATCAGATTTGATTTAAAGAAAGGAAGTGTGGGGCTCTCGGTTCCTTGATCCAGTCACCTTTCACCAGCATCAAAGCACTTAAAGGTTCTAGCAGATAAAGCATTGAAGGTTCTAGTAGATCTAAGCATTTGTAGGCTCAAGCAGATCAAGACACTTGAAGGATTTAGCACAGTGATTCTCAACTAGTGGTCCATGGTGACATTTTGGGTGGTCCACAGAATGCACACTATATTTGGTAATAAACTGAAGATTAGTGCATATAATCTTAAATTTATTGAAAATAAAGTGTTGAAGCGATATGTGCATTGACCAGTGTGAACAAGGGTGGTCAGATAATGGATTCTCCCAAGTTAGCTGCAGCAACAGTCAAACTGTGGAAGCGATATCAAGTGAAACTTGCATGTTGAGGCAGTTGGTTTGTGACATCGTGTGTGTGTGTGTGTGTGTGTGTGTGTGTGTGTGTGGTGTGTGTGTGTGTGGTTGCGCGTGCGTGCGTGCGTGCGCACGTGCGCGCGAGATCACAGCCATTCCCATTCAATTCTGCGACTGCACGTAATTCTGTTGTTTAGTGCAGTAGACACTAAACTGCCAAGCTGATTAGTTGTGTCTTTCATCCTGCACTGTTTTACAGGTTTAGTGTAAGCTGATTTGGTTTTCTATAAAATGCAATGTAAAAGGAAGCTGGGAGGAAGATTAGAATAGTGTGAAATATTTCCTGTCACTTATGCTGCTGCGTGCTTCGTTGTGTTGATTTATGCTGTTCGTGAAACTTTTCAAGCGGCAGCACCTTGACGTGACAGGTACATTCTTTGAAAAAACCATCAATGCAGTGCATGCTTCCTACATTATCACATACAAAGTCGCACAGGCCAAGAAACCTCATATGATTGTAAAGAAACTTGTGCTACCCTGTGCAAAAAAAATGGCGAGGCTTGTCGGCGAGGATGCAGCACAGAAGCTGAATGATGTATCAGTTTCTAATGACACAGTGTTGAGACGGATAAATGAGATCTCACAAAACATCAGTGAACAAGTTGTGAATGAAATAAAGAAATCTCCAATGTTTGCCATACAGTTGGATGAATCAAGTGATGTCTCACTGTCTTCTCAGCTTTTGGTATTTGCATGATACGTGGCTAAGGGAGACTTCGAAGACGAGTTTTCTCTTTGTAAGACTTGATACCACCACAAGGGCTCAGGATGTGTTAGAAATTATTAACAATTTCTTTAAAGTAAATGGTCTGGACTGGGTAAATTTGGTGGGTGTTACCACTGATGGCGCACCTGCGATGCTAGGCTCAAGATCAGGCTTTCAAGCATTGGTGAAACAGCGTGCTCCATTGGTAACCGGAGTTCACTGTTTCATTCACAGAGAGGCACTGGCATCAAAAACACTACCTGATCACCATTTTCAAAGGATTGGTGAAGGTGGTTAATTACATCAAATCGTCAGCAGTGAACATCAGACTGTTCAGAAAATTATGCCAGGACATGGGTTCCGACTTTGAGGTGTTGCTGTTCTACACTTCTGTACGGTGGTTAGCAGGGAATGTAGTCAACAGAATTTTTGAACTGAGAGAAAAAATTATTGTATTTCTCCAGTCTCAAGGGAAAAAAATGTTTTACAAATAAATATGCTAGAACTGTCAGAATTAGAACTAGCATACTTTGTCGATATTTTTGGTATCTTTGAGCAAACTGAATCTTCAGCTGCAAGGGAAAGGAGCAAATCTGTTCTCTCACCAAGGAATCACCAAGGCTTTTCTTGAGAAATTAGAACTCTGGATCAGAAGAGTCGAAGGTAAAAATTTAGTTCAATTTCCGTGTGTGGATGCCATGCTAGGGGAAAAGGAAGCCATTCAGTGCATATTCTCGAGCACTTACAAAAGCTGCAGGATGAATTTCGGCGATACTTTCCGGAGGTGGACATGACAAGGGATGAGCTTTCTTTCATCAGGAATCCATTTGTAACAGATGTTCATGGTGTTCCAGAGGCTATGCAGGAGTTCTTGGACCTGAAAAATGATTTGGCAGCTAAAGATGTGTACCAGCGGTCTACCATGGAAAAATTTTGGGCCAGTATCATTGTTATTTACCCAAATCTGGCAACACATGCAGTCAGATGTCTTTTGCCATTTGCATCAACTTACATGTGTGAGAGTGGATTTTCATGTTTGTTGCACATTAAGTCCTGAGAATCGGCTTGCAGTTGAAAGTGATATTCGTTGTGCATTACCAAGTACCACTCCTAACATTGAAAAGCATGTCAGTGAGAAGAGAATCCAAAAGTCTGGTTGCATTAAAAGTGAAATTATATTTCAAAGAAAAATACTGGCTGTATACTTCATAATTTAAAAAATTATGTTTGTTAGAAATTTCACAGCAAAATATATTAGATATGTATTCGTTTATTTCCAGGAAATTATGTTTGTATGAAATATATTTCAGATCAAAATGTTAGATATCTATTATTTTATACAACTCGAATTTCTGTTTATAAGAAATATGTTCCAAATCAAATTGTTTGTTGTCTTGGCTTTTCCTTTATACATATATCATTACTCAACAAATGAAATGATCCACGATATTTTTATAATTGGGTTGATGGTCCATGGGCTGAAACGAGTTGAAAACCACTTATCTAGCAGGGCAAGTCAGTGGCTTCCTAACCTGGTTGACCTGGTAATGAGATGTACCACATTTTTGGAAAACACGCTATGAGGGTATATAAGTCTGGAATGAGAGGTACGGAGCATCCTAGGAACTAATGAGAGAACATTCAGTAGGGGTGTGTGAACATGTGAGATTGGAATGAGTGGAAGACATGTATTGTTTGGTGGATTTGAAGTGTTGCTGAAGCATCAGCAAGGTAGCAGTAGTAGTAAAAGTAGCAATAGTAGTAGTATCGTTGATATTTACTAATCACTTTGACCACGTGGTCACTCAGCACTCATAACAAGAGAAGGAATATACACACTACACATTAAACACAGAACAAATTAGTCAGCGAAGTAACATTTATGAAGGAATTCAGGGAGACCAGATAACTAATTTAAGAGCTGTGTCAATAGAAGTATGGTGTTTGTACTGTGTAGGAATGTAGCGTTGCTCTGGATCACTTTGAAAACCGCACAGGAGTGAGTAATGGTGAATGATTTTCTGAAAGACCGCATAGGATTGAGTAATGGTGAATGAAATTTTCTTTGTATCACTTTACCTTGGTGGGTACTGGTAAGTGTATTAACAAATATTGTAGAGTTATTCAGAGTTAAGCCATAAGTTAGAAAAGACAGCTGTCTTGGGCAATGCTTTAGGAAGTCTCGAGTGAGAGAGAAGAGAAAGTCAGATGTAGGGCCTGATCAATAGAAAGTTATTATTATTATTTAAAGAGGAGATATCAGAGAGATGTAGAGACAGCATTATGGTGTTACCTGTTGTGATTATAAATTCCTCAGAGTGTATGTTGGGGAACTTCTTCCTGTTGTTGTCATAGTAAGCCTTGAAGTGAGGGTTGGGATCCACCACCACCAGCCTCGTTCCGTCAGGGTAAAACTCGAAGTTCACTCCTGACAATTATAAACCTGATTACTGTGAATCTCTCCAGGTTACTGAAACTTTTACATGTAAAATATATTGAATGACAAAGAATTAGAGAAACAGCAGCCAAATATATAGTTGGAAAGAAGGAAGTCAACACTTGGAATGAGAGAGAGAGTATTAAATTTGTTGTTGAAGGTTTTGTGAAAAATTATATGACATAATTGATTTAATGAAAGATATGACTATTCTTTGCCTTTATAAGCATTGCTACACGCTTTAGCATAGGATCAATCAATGTTGAAAACATTTTGGCAAGTCCTTCGTCTTGGTACTAGGTCCTAATAACAGCAGCAACCAGCTTCTCCACAGCTGAACAGTCCTATTTCGCGATCCTGCATTTGGTTCTTGCCCTTAGATTCTTAGTTGGGTTGAGGTTAGGAGAGTTTCCTGGCCAATTCAGAACACTTAGCCCACTCACTTCGAAGAATATAAGCATTTTTCTGGAAGTATGGAATGGACCAAGACCCTGCTGGAAAATGCATTCTCCAACAGGAAAGCCTCTATCCACAATGGGAAGCAAATAAGTTGCTAGGACTGCCTTGTATTTGTTACTCTTCAACGTTCCCTAAACAATAACAAGCCATTCAGGACCTTTAGCAGTAAAACTATCCTAAAACATCTTAGATGGGTGTTTTTGCGCTTGTTGAATGTGTCCAAACCGAAGAGGTTTGCCTTTGCTCCGACTCGCTACCACTGATCTGTACCCATGTACGTACTTGAAAATGCGCCTCACCTGAAAATATAACTTTTATCCATTCATCTGTCGTCCATCCCTTATGAACAGCGCCCATCACAGCCACTTTTTCTTCATAGCAGCAATCAATAATTGTTTACCGACCTTCTGGCAGTTCTGTCAACACTTCAAGGATCCTTTGTCGAACAGTTGAAGAATCAACGTTTATGCTAGCTTGAGCCAGATCTCTCTGTAGACCTTTGCTGGTTTTCGTCTTTTGCTTTTGTTGTGAGTGATTTTCATGTGCAAGTTCGGTACTAGTCCCTCTAGGATTTTCCAGGTGTATAAAATCATGTATCTCTCCCGCCTGTGTTCCAGGGAATACAGGTTTAGGAACCTCAAGCGCTCCCAGTAATTGAGGTGTTTTATCTCCGTTATGCGCGCCATGAAGGTTCTCTGTACATTTTCTAGGTCAGCAATTTCACCTGCCTTGAAAGGTGCTGTTAGTGTGCTGCAATATTCCAGCCTAGATAGAACAAGTGACCTGAAGAGTGTCATCATGGGCTTGGCCTCCCTAGTTTTGAAGGTTCTCATTATCCATCCTGTCATTTTTCTAGCAGATGTGATTGATACAATGTTATGGTCCTTGAAGGTAAGATCCTCCGACATGATCACTCCCAGGTCTTTGACGTTGGTGTTTCGCTCTATTTTGTGGCCGGAATTTGTTTTATACTCTGATGAAGATTTAATTTCCTCGTGTTTACCATATCTGAGTAATTGAAATTTCTCATCGTTGAACTTCATATTGTTTTCTGCAGCCCACTGAAAGATTTCGTTGATGTCCGCCTGGAGCCTTGCAGTGTCTGTAATGGAAGATACAGTCATGCAGATTCGGGTGTCATCTGGAAAGGAAGACACGGTGCTGTGGCTGACATCCTTGTCTATGTCAGATATGAGGACGAGGAACAAGATGGGAGCGAGTACTGTGCCTTGTGGAACAGAGCTTCTCACTGTAGCTGCCTCAGACTTTACTCTGTTGACTACTACTCTCTGTGTTCTGTTAGTGAGGAAATTATAGATCCATCGACCGACTTTTCCTGTTATTCCTTTAGCACGCATTTTGTGCGCTATTACGCCATGGTCACACTTGTCGAAGGCTTTTGCAAAGTCTGTATATATTACATCTACATTCTTTTTGTCTTCTAGTGCATCTAGGACCTTGTCGTAGTGATCCAATAGTTGAGACAGACAGGAGGGACCTGTTCTAAACCCATGTTGCCCTGGGTTGTGTAACTGATGGGTTTCTAGATGGGTGGTGATCTTGCTTCTTAGGACCCTTTCAAAGATTTTTATGATATGGGATGTTAGTGCTATCGGTCTGTAGTTCTTTGCTGTTGCTTTACTGCCCCCTTTGTGGAGTGGGGCTATGTCTGTTGTTTTTTAGTAACTGTGGGACGACCCCCGTGTCCATGCTCCCTCTCCATAGGATGGTAAAGGCTCGTGATAGGGGCTTCTTGCAGTTCTTGATGAACACTGAGTTCCATGAGTCTGGCCCTGGGGCAGAGTGCATGGGCATGTCATTTATCGCCTGTTCGAAGTCATTTGGCGTCAGGATAACATCAGATAGGCTTGTGTTAATCAAATTTTGTGGCTCTCTCATAAAAAATTCATTTTGATCTTCGACTCTCAGTCTGGTTAGCGGCTTGCTAAAAACTGAGTCATATTGGGACTTGAGTAGCTCACTCATTTTCCTTGCTGTCATCTGTGTAGGACCCATCTTGTTTAAGTAGGGGCCCAATACTGGACGTTGTTTTCGATTTTGATTTGGCATAGGAGAAGAAATACTTCGGGTTTCTTTCGATTTCATTTATGGCTTTTAGTTCTTCCCGCAATTCCTGACTCCTAAAGGATTCTTTTAGCTTAAGTTCGATGCTTGCTATTTCTCTGACCAGTGTCTCCCTACGCATTTCAGATATATTGACCTCTTTTAGCCGCTCTGTTATTCTTTTCCGTCGCCTGTAAAGGGAGCGCCTGTCTCTTTCTGTTTTACATCTACTCCTCCTTTTTCTTAGAGGAATAAGCCTTGTGCATACATCGAGTGCCACCGAGTTAATCTGTTCTAGGCATAAGTTGGGGTCTGTGTTGCTTAGTATATCTTCCCAGCTTATATCGGTTAGGACTTGGTTTACTTGGTCCCACTTTATGTTTTTGTTATTGAAGTTGAATTTGGTGAATGCTCCCTCGTGACTAAACCTTTACAAAAATTCAATGTATGTCAAAGGCCCTAAAATCTGGAACACCCTACCTGAAAATTCTAAAACTGCAGACACATTCATCACCTTCAAAACTACCATCAGAAAACACCTTATCTCCCTGACACACCCTGTCAACTAATTACACGAATACCACCTGGTGGTTAACACTTACACTCGCCTATTTCACCATAAACAGAAATATCAATCTCAATCTCAAAATAATGAATCTTAACTAGTCATAAGTTGGCCTGTGATACTCCAATACTGAAACTATGTATAGTGCCAAAACAAAAGCATTCACATTGCTAAACTCACAAACTAGTATTTAGTCACTTAGCCATAATACCAACTTACCTCATAATTTTGTAATATTTTAAACTTAAGATTTAATTTAAGTCTGCCCGAAATGCCTAGCCATGCTAGGTGTTCAAGTGGTACACTCTGTAATTATTATTTTACTACATGTAAACAATACAATAAACCAATTCTGTAAA